GTTTTTAGTTCCAGGTGCTCGACGACAAAACACCGCTGGGCTAACAAAAGAATCAAGATGGCCGACCGCAGCGTGGTCGGTATTCGAACGACGGCCACCTAGAAACATTCTTAATTATCGATTGCAACATTGTTGCAATCGGTTAATGGGTGCCACACGACCCCCTTTGTGTGGTTGTGCGTTCGTTATGTTATTCGTTTCACGAACAGTGTTTAAACTCACTGTTCATGAAACTTCATTAGGAATGCTGGGGTTTTCATACCGCCAGCATACGAATGCCCTCATTCGCCTGAAATACAAATAGCATTGATTTTTATGGCTTAGCAAAATTACACACATACTGATACATTAATAGTCTCTGGTGGCTTGTTTTGCCACAGTTACCCCCTCCAATCTGTCCTACAGTAACTTCCTTAACAGCCTTTCCTCTTTCTTTGTATATTTATATATGTGTTAATATATTAATATAGGTAAGCTTTTTTAATGCTCCTTCTGTTATTCCCAATATTGGTCACTTCTCACTTGCTTAACATCAATACTTAGTGTTAGATCATTGCCGGATGGAGAATTCACTCCGCCATTGCGCAGTCCGGGCGACTGTTTGGGTTCGCAAATTCGTCTGATACCTGGGTTAATGGATAGTTGTGCTGTGCTGCTTTAAGCTATCTACCCCAACAGGCTGAGCTGGACCAAGGGTTTATCACCAATTTCCTGTAGGAATGAGAAGACACATAAAAGGTAGAGAAAACAATTGTAATGGTCATGGAGGATCCAATGGATTAATGCTCATTTGCAGATCATCTTGCAGGGGTTGTGAGGCACGGTGTCCCAAGGTCGTTGCCCCCCTCCGCCAGTACGTTTGTTTTGCACAGAGACATCGTGCACCTGGTTTGGACTATACAGCAGGGGACACATTATGAGTGGTTAGTATTTTATTTAGCCTGTATATATCTGTGAATTTAAATTAAACTGTATTTTTAATTAATAACGATACACTTAGTATGACATTATATATATGCCATAGATTATTATTTTTTTTAACTGAACTTTATTTTTCTGGCAGGGAGACTGCCTGTACAGCCCCCTGAGGCAGATCATATTGTGGTCATGTGATCACTGTGACAGAGGCAGTCCCCCTGGCTTGAGGAGCCTGATCGCTCCTGGGGAAGACGGCATCAGGAAGTTGGCCTTGGGCCAGGGTGGGGAGAGGACAGTGCTGGTGCCCGCTCATCCGTTTGTCACACCCGTCCTTGCTCTGACTTTAATTTGCAAGACAATCAGAGGATAAACCAATTGCCTATAATCTTTACTGCTGGTGCCAGAGTGAACATTGATTTATAGGTTGGGAATTTGAATGGATTTGCCCCTTTGCTGCTGCTGGCCCTTTAAGAACCATCTGGCACAGGCACATCTTATTTGAGATTGTCACAATACTATATGGGAGGCCACCATAATTCCTGCTATCAGAAGCACATGTGTAGAGATACAGGATGGATGGGCTGCAGGCCATCTGGTTAATCTCACAAGACCACTGTTTGGAGCTCATGTTCTCAATGCACGGTAATCCCATCCACCCACCCTCGTCACAGGGAGTGGAGTGGTATGTGTTTGGTGCACAGTCCACAGGACATTCGTGTCATGTGGTGGACTATAGCGGGGAGGACTATAAAGTGATTGTTTTTCATTTAGCCTGTATATGTTCTGCAGAATCTGCATTAAACTGTATCATCCAAAGTACTGAACGGATCTGGGTGAATTTTGGATATGTGGTTCACCCAGATCCCCCGGTTCCAAGGATATATTTTTTATGGGGTTATTGCATGTTTTGGGGTCCCTGTGATGTGTTTTATGAAACTGTATTTCTCTGTCTGTGATAATTAGATTACCCATTGTGTAAGGTAATTGTATCACAGGCAGAGGGGAGGATTTTGTGTGGGAGTGTCTTTCTGTAATGTACGTGTGTTATTGGTTGTTCTGTAAAACCCTGTGGGCAGTACTAAGTTTGTGGATTGGGAATAAAAGAGGCTGTATGTGCCAGTCCAGTCAGTTCCTGCTTAACCCTTAAAGTGAAGTGTCGTCTCATTATTGGGGTAGGATTTATTGTATGCTGTTCCAGTTTGACTGCTAGGAGTGTAAACCTATTCGCATGGTTTTTCCTATTCTGCTGTATACAACATTCATATGCTTGAGAGCATTCATATGCTCCTACGGTTCGGTGCTTTTGGTGTCTGCTGCAGTGCTTGGAGTCCTCAGGAAGTGCTAGGAGCATCCTTCAACGGAGGTACCCAGTCAGGGTGCCAGGTGATCCGTTACACCTAACTAGTACAAGCTATAACTTAAGACATAAGTACTGTAACGGATCACCTGGCACCCCGACTCGGTACCTCCGTTGAAGGATGCTCCTAGCGCTTCCTGAGGACTCCAAGCACTGCAGCAGACACCACAACCACCGCAGACTCCGCAACCACTGTAGCTTGACTGGAGTCTCGCCGTCTTCCTTCAACCCCGGATCAGCTTCTGTCCTCCAGGACCGTGTGGGAAAGACCTTTTCCTTCCACCCTGTATTACCACCAGCATCCAGGACTGTGTGGTGAAGACCTCGCCTCCAAGGAGAGCGTGTCAGGAACAAGCTCTTAAAAGAGCTAAGTGATTCAAGCTATGGGGAGTATGCAGAGCATAGCAATCCCCAGTGTGATTATAACAGCTCCCTCCAATAACGAGAGAAGGCTACGTTTAGAGGGATCAAGAAGAACTGTCTCAACCTTTATTTCCCTTTGGACCAGCCCATAGGGTCACCACATTAACATTGCTGTGAAAACTCAATAAAATCAAAAACAGTCAAACCATAGCAGGCAACACACAGTGACTTATCACAACGGCACATTTTTAAAGGGGTGGGGTAGACAATATTTAACAGTAAATATCTCACCTGCCTGCAGAATTAGCAATATGCAAATCTACCCGAATATGCAAATGAACCAGTCTTGCAATTCAGGTAGTGCATATTGCTGTTGCTACCAACAGAGGGTACTAGACCAGCTCCATAGCCAAACCCACCTAGTTGGTAGCAAACCTCAGCAGTACAGGAGAGAAGGCAATACATTTCACAGTACACACACACACTATAAACAATTACATTACACACACCCTGCACCTATAATGGGTACAGGGTGACTAAAACATAAGATAAATAAAGCAGCCCACATAAATAGTCTGTCTGAATGTAGACTAGGGCAGGGCCGGACTGGGAATTAAAAGCAGCCCTGGAAAAAAAATATTTACCAGCCCCATAATGCATCGCGCCAGCATAGTGTGCAGATACAGAGTTAGAACAGATAACTTAAAATTAAAAAGTACTTCAACGTAAAAAGCGCACTCATAGGCTTCAAAATAAACAAAAGTGCAGATTTATTTTAAGCAGACGTGTCTTTGCATGTAATCAATGTTTCAGTCCAACTACCTTGACATATTAAGGAAAGCTTGTTAATGGGACTGAAATGGTGAATGTATGTAGGGCACAACTGAAATTTTTTTATTTTGAAGTCCTGTGGGTGCGCTCTTCACTTTAAAAATGTTATTGTGCTGGAGTATGCACCTAGCAACAAGACTGGGCCAATATCTGCTCATTACATATGGTACATATTAATGACATTTATCTGTGTATTATGCATTTATAAATGTACATTAATATGTGTAAATATAATAGGTATATATATATATATATATCTAATACACACATTAATATACATGTCATATACTAGTGGCGGATCCAGAGCCTGAGCCTGAGAGGGGCACTTGTAGATTATTTAAAGAAATATTCCATGCACAATAATCACTACTCCTCTGTGTAGTGGTTATGGTGCCAGGAGCGTCGGCACCCCCTCCCAGAGTAAGTCGTCAAAGCGTTTAAGAACAGTTTGACAACTTACCTGGAGTCTGCTGGGATATGGGGCTGTAGTGGGGTATAGGAGCAGTGGTGCAATGTGTGTGAAAGGTTCAGTGTGTGGGTGGGCAGTGTGTAAATGTGTATGGTGTGTGTGTGTGGGGGCAGTGTGTGAATGTGTATGGTGTGTGTGTGTGGGGCAGTGTGTGTGTATGGGGCTAGAGTTCAGTCCTACTACTGGGACTACCAGGAAGTGGTGAGAGTGAACTCTAGCCCGTAGCTCCAGGGCTAGAGTTCACCCTCGTGAGAGCCGGAGCATTGCCCCAGGTCCTCTCTTCCTCCCCTGCCGACTGGCTGCACGGTGCCGGCCGGCAGGGGAAAGCCTTGGAGGGGGGGGGGCAAGGGGGGGCTATTGCCCCCCATCCACCAGTGATATATACTGCCCCTATGTGTGTCTCTTTATCTCCAGCCCCTCTGTGTGCCTTTTTGTCTCCCCCAGTCACTCTGTACGTTTCTTTCTCCCCCTCACTGCTCCTCTGTGTCAATGTCTCCCCTCTCCTTCCCAGTCTCTCTCTCCCCCCTCTGCCTCTTTCTTCCCTTCCCCTTGTGTGTCTCTCTCTCATTTTTTCCTCTTTGTCTCTCTCTTCCCCCTCTGCCTCTTTCACCCCCTTTCCCTGTGTCTCTTCCTCCCCCCTTTCCCTGTGTCTCTCCCTACAGTGTCCCTTTTAAGAGCTAAATTAACCAGCTTAGGTTAAATTTTGAACAAGATTGATTTGCGGCGCTCAGTAGCCAGCGCAGTATTTACATTGCCAACAAGGCAGATAATTCCAACCACGGGGGGTGTCTTGATCCAAATCGACCACATCAAAAATTTTGGCAGCAGGGCCTAAATGTCCAGAACATTGACCCACTGTCATTATCCTGACAGTGGGTCAGTGAGAAATACAAACCTTTCCTGTGTTTCCATCCAGTTTTCCCCCAAAAACTGAACAATTTTTGGATCTACAATTGGTGTTTTACATCATCCAGGACAGCAGGGCCCGTAACTTGTTCCGTGTGGCTTATGGACTCCAGATCTCGTCACATGTTCAGAAGGGCACAACTTCGCTGAACGCGGATGCCTCAATTCCTCTGGATCAAACAGAATCCAAAATTTTTTGTATTGTCGCCAGTGCCCTACACACTTAGATGGGAAACCTTAGCGGGGAAGGTGCTGTGTGAAGAGGCGTTCGCCTCTCCCCCTGCACCATCGGAGTCTGGTTCAAACTGGTCGTCTGAGACGTCCAATATGGACTCATCGCTCTCCTCCTCAATGTCGCTGAGTTCAGACTCAGACAAATCAAACTGGGCTTTCGACTGCTTCTATTGTCAAGCCGATTTTGCCCAACTAGTGGCTCTTTTGCGCAATGGTATTTGTGTGCCATCCGTGACAGCAGGAAAGCTGTCTGTCAAATCTGTTTTTGGAGGAGTGTTTAGACTTGGCCGTAGCTTTATGGCCTTGTGGGACAGGTGCCTGCATAGGTGCAGTCGAAATGACCGTCTGCTGAGCAGATTGTTGTGCTTGCAAATGGGCCTGAGAGATGGTTTGCGACAAAGAGGTAGACATCATGCCCATAGCAGAAATCAGAGCCTGCGTCGTAGATCTGGACAATAAGGCGTCCAAAAGCACCTACATGTCTGCATATGCAGGAAAATCAGGATAGAAAACCAGGGAAGGGTGTCATCATGGGGAACCTGAGGTGTCTCATTTGATCCACAGGCCATGGGCAAATCCCTGTCAGACTGAATGATAAGTACAGTATAGTAAACCTAAATATAGGGTTTATTAACCCACAAGGGAAGGAAATGTTGAAAAAGTAAACTCACAGTTATAGAAATAACCCAGAGAGAGGAAAAAGAGCCATGTGTTCGCCAAAACTGCTAAACGCCAACAAGGTTTAGACAGGAAGAGGCAAGGCTATGGGGTAAAAGGGCACGAAATTTCACCAAACTGTGGATTTTCGTGTAACGAACGTAAATGAAAAGTCATTCGCATCAAAATCCTGTTAAAGTATTATAGATGAAACAAACTACCAAAAGTACCGAACTGGGTGAATGTGCAATTCGCGGGTGGGGAAAAAAAAACATGCGAATAGAGGCAAACAACTGAACGGCTAAAAATGCTGAATGATCGTTCGCGGCATTGAAAATATAACAAAAATCGTGAATGGTGAAAACTACTGAATGATGCGCATGCGCGAATCGCATCTTACTAGAAATGGGCGCGAAAGAAAAAAAATGACCGTTAGTAAGAATAAAAGGGACAAATAAAATATAAAACTGAATAATTAAAGGAGAACCCCTGTTCCAGTTACTGGGAAGATTGACCTCTTATTATATATATATATATATATATATATATATATATTACACACACACACACACTGTTTGTTGATTTTTTTAATGTTTATATTTCTTTGCTGCATAATAGGAGCCTCCGTGTCTTAGTAAAATCTTGTTTTTGTCAGAATGTTTGCACATGTAAAGGGGCAAAGGCTGAAGCTTTTATTTCAGTGCTGATCATTTCTACTGATACGACTCTTGCTCAGAATCTTGTCAGTGTGTGAATTAAAGTGAGTTGCAGCTTTTCATTCATACTGCGTGTTTATTTGAGATGACGTCCTTATTTTAATACCTTATGAGATTTGATACACAAGGTGATTGCCCAGCCTACATAATCACAGCCCATTCCAAAGGCTGAATGTAAACCTTCATCTCGTAACTTCTGAGAAAGAATAGGCAGCTTTTTAGTTGCAATGATTTTATGAAAGACACAGTGTGCAGTTAGTAGATGTTGTTGTTTTGGTACTTGACTACCCATATCCACTAACAGAAATGCAAAGAGCTGTGCCTCGACAGACTCCTACGTCAGAGGTGTTCACCCAGGGTGAGGGTGCCTCAAACCTTCTCAAACTGAGCCACACAAAGTTTTAAAGGAACAATAAACACCAAAACCACCTCTGTATATTTGCTAAAACTCGTGATGATGGAAACTCTCTAAGCACCGTAATCATAGCAGCTCCGGCAGAGAGTTTCCAACTCTTCGAGGCAGGGATTAGTACCCCACATAAGCAGTTTAACGGTTTGACTAATATTACACTGGTGAGGGAAGTTGGCAAGGACACTCCTGGCTCCATAACTGCTATTGTGAACTGTAGTGATTATGGTACTTAGAATATTCTGTTAATCCTTAATTAAACTGAGTCCTTTTCACCTGTCAATTAAAATAGGTTTAAAAAAGTAACAACTGTTAAAACATCTACTCTGTTCATACGAAATTAATCCAATTTCAAGTTGACTGTTTTTCTCATTTTTGGGGGCAATGTAGTTTTAAACAAACGTGTTGGTACAAGCAAGATACTAAACTAAAACCTATGTTACAGATCCACAGATCTTCTTGGAACCTTCCACGACTCCATTAAAAGAAGGCGATCCGGAAGGGATTGTGGCCGAATGTATTGCTATAGCGAATCCTGCGCCAATTATCAAATGGAACACAGGAGATTTCACACATAATATAGATAGCATTGTAGAACAGCATGAAAATTTAAGTGTGACGGTAGTGAGCAAGTTGAAAATGAAACCGCTACGAGATCTCTATGGTCAGAACTTTACTTGTGTGGTTACTCAGATGCAAACTGAATGGAAGCAGGAGAAATCGGTAACCATATGGAATATCCATTGTGAGTATGGCACAGAATTCCTACTTTTGTAGTGGAGCCAGAATTTAAATTGTGCTATACAGCAATCCGTAAAATGTTACTAAGATAGAAAACTGATCCACCAATCTAGGCAAATAGCTCATAAATCCACATACGGTACAGTTGTAGGTCAGATTTCTATTATGACAGATATCTGCGGCAGAAAATGTCCATTAAATGTGAGGTTTTAATTGGTTTGAATGCATTGTTTTTGTACATTTTAATTCTTTATCTATACAATATATACAAGAAAAAAGCTAGATGAATCCCAGTTAATATAAAGGTCAGGGTCCTTAGTGCTATATATTCTGTACAGTGTCTTATTTTCCTAATACATTCGTGGATAACCTCAGCATCTCTGATTAAATGACACTCCAAGGACCATAACCACTTTCTCTGTATTGGCCATGTTGCCGGGGGTATCCTGGCACTCCCTCATTATAGAGAGTCAACCCATTTCTGAACAGTTTGACTTCTTACCTGAATCCACTGGGTGCCGCTCCCTGTCTCCACTACCAACACCAGAGAGCTGGAAGTTCCTAAGCGGTGCAATGCAGGGTTTAGCTCTATATCTGCTTAGGAATTTCCTGCTCTCCAGAGTTTGTAGCGGAAATGGGGAGCAGTGCCTGGGAGACCTGTGGTTAGAAGTCAAACCGTGCCTAAATGAATTGACTGCACGCAAAAGGTTGACGCCAGTGTACTCCTGGCACCATAACAACTAAGGCGAGCAGTAGAGGTTATGATGCTAACCTCTACTTAGCATCTTGCCTGGTCTTGTTGATTCTGAGCATCATTGTGGAAACTTATAATTTTAATATATTTCTACTATGTTTCTTTTAAGAAACTTGTGCACTTTAAATTATATCTCTTCTCATGTCAACACAATAAATGGCGTTTTTGTCCTCTGTTCACAATGTATCATTTTAATGCTTGGGTCTTGCCTCCCACCCCACTATTTTTTTGTTTGTTTTTGTTTAAGTTGCCCCTTATGATGTACGTCTTCTTGTGGACTCCAGTAAGGGAAACCATCTGGAATTTTCCTGTCAATACCATTGCAATCCTGTGCCTCTTAATTTTACTTGGAAAAGGTAAGGTTTCAGAATTTCTTTGAAGATTGACCATAGAAGCACTGTTTATTTATGGATATATTAGAATATTATATATTGAATTTCTTTATCCCCATGAATACGATTTCTACAAGGAATACAACTGGGCATATCTCTTTGATGTGTAATGTGCACACACCTCCAATTAATTGCTGTCTTAAAGGGACACTATAACCAGACCATTAAAGCTTATTTGGGAGCTGTACCTGATGCTCTACCACAGTCAAAACAAACATGTCTCCAGGCATAGTGAAAAGGTTACAGAGCTCAGGAAAAATATTCTGAATGGATCTGCTGGTATATTCAAAATGTAATTGTGTGTGTACTTGTGTTTTGCGCATTGTGTCTGTGTATTGTTTATGAAAAAAGAAACACTTGTGATTTATTTCATGTAATCTTACTGCTGTGTGGCTGTCCTAACGCTATAGGCATTAGGAGAGAGTACTCTAATTGCTAACATTGTCATCCTGAGCATTAGGAGCAGGTCGCAATTTCCATTATTACATTTTACGATCCTTTTAACATTTGTAAAGTTCCAGTGAAGATAACATTCTGTTTGTGTTTTACAGGGAGAGTGACTCGGGCATAGAATATATAAAAGCGACTAACCACTTGACTGTACCGGACAACATGAATAAAGTTCTGTATGTTTGTGAAGTGAGAAACTCACTGGGCAGCATGTCGGGAAGTACCTACATCTATTCAAAGAAAGGTAGCTTTAAATTCGCCATGTCCATGAATAATATGTTACTGTTGGTTTTTAGAACATGACTTGGCCTAGAGCCAGGTCGGAATAGCTTTATTTATTGCCCTGGGTGTTTTACATCTGAGCCATTGTGTGCATTGCTGTTACAAGCTTAATAAGCTTTCAAAATCAGAGATTGTTACTGTGAATATTTGTTAATGTGTATATTATAATAAATCCAAAGTAGATTTTCACCCATAATCACACCAAAAAAAGCAGACAATTAACTTTAAAAAAAAAAAAAAAAGAAACTTGATTTTCTGCTTGTTTTGACAGGGCCCGGTTCACCTCCCGTTCCATTATGTCTTACTTGTTTTGTTAGAATTAAATGTTTGTCTTGCTTCCTGTTGTACAGCGCTGCAGAATATGTTGCCGCCATATAAATAATTGTAATTACCTCGGCTGAGTTGGCAGCAATGTGCTTCAATCTGCTTCAACAACTGAACATGGGTTGGTGGATTTTCTATCCCCTAAATCACTGTGAATGTGGAACCCAGATAGCTGTGACTAGCGTATTCTTTAAGAAGACCAAGCTCCCCCATATTTGAAACCGATACCCTCATATGGTACCCCCTTAAATAAAAACATGTTATACCTCCCTATTAACCTGAAAGTACTTGGCAAGTGTCCCTATCTCTTACTTTACTTTGTGTGGTGCAAGGTGAGGGGTTTATGGTAATAGGGGATTCATTTATTTTAGAAATTTGAGTCCCCTGAGACTTCTTTTAAAAAGGTTCATCCTGTCAGTGAGGAAGTTGGCTTTGTCATTTACAGCTTGTATTTCAACTGGTGCTTCCTCTCCCAGCACCTGCATTTTTATTTACTGAACTTGAATACTCTAGGACAGTGGTTTCCAAACCAGTCCTCAAGGCACGCCTACCAGTCCAGGATTTAGGGATTATCCAATTGCGTTTAAGGTGTTTTTAGAAAGGGGGAAAAAAAACACCTTAACACAACTGCGTTTGGAAACTACCACCATAGGGGGGTCGCTAATTTTATACCAAAATCTATATATTAAATGTTCTAAATTGGTTTTTGTTTCCACAATTTTGAGATAAAGTTCCCAGCAATTCACAGTTTGTCAAAAACAACATATAGATAATTGTAGGAGTGATTGTTTGTTCTTCCTACCTTTTCTTTTTATATACTTTGTGGTTCTTATTCACAATTATAATGTTTTTTTTTTTTTTATGTTTTTGTGTTTTTTCCTTTTGTTTTCTAGCCCCTATTAGTGCGTTCTGGTACGTTTGCCTGGTTTTGTTGATTCTGAGCCTCATTGTGATTGCTGTTCTCTTCCTTTACTATCGGAAGAGTCGCAAGTCGGCAAGGTATAGTACTAATCTGCATACGTATCTGTCTACAGGTTGATACCAGTTTATTTACCGATGGATTTTTGTCTTAAAATGTACTTTTCAGATCAATTTATTGAATAAACAAAAAAATAAAATCACTGTAAAATCTCTCTTGTAATGTACAGTTGGACTACAACGTGGAATGTGAGTGAGTCCATGTATATTTCTCAAATCAGTTCAATTCTGCATGCTGCAGACACTGTTAGTGAACTTTTGATTGCCGAACGACAGTGGTGTTTTGTTTTCATTCTACCCTCAACACATCCTATTCTATAGACATTTGTCAAAAGCCTTCAGTTACAAGACACCCTGAGATAGAGTGGAAGGTATTCTCCACACCATAACCTTTATAATGTTGCACAACTGTTATGGTAGTTAGAGTGACTGAAAAATGTCTATCATTAGTTATTGGGGGGGGGGGAATAGACCAGGAAAATCCTAATTTTTGGCCTTTATAGTAAAGTCTGATAAATTCTTTGAGTTGGAGAGAGGACCTGCCGGAAGCAGAAGATAGCGTGTGCCCAATGCCGCCCTCTCTACAATGTGAGTGTCACCCAGGACGCTCCACATACCGATAATTGCCAAAATGAGGAATGTCAGCCAATAGTATCGGGCAAACGGATAATCGGTCCGACCTTAATATTTATAAATTAATATTTCAGTGTTTGCAGATGACGCAAAACTCTGTAAAGTAATACAATATGAGCAGGATATTGCTACACTGTATAGGGATTTAGTTAGATTGGGGGACTGGGCACTTAAATGGCAGATTAAATTTCATGTAGATGCATTTGGGGTAAAGAATGCACAATCAACTTACACCTTAAACTGTAGCGAATTAGGGATAACCACACATGAGAAGGATTTGGGAATTGTGCTAGACCACAAACTAGGCTACAATGTCAATCAGCAGCTGCTAAAGCCAGTAAAGTATGTTCATGTATAAATAGGGGCATTCATGCTCAGGATAAAAAAAATATTTTACCTCTTTACAAATCAATGGTAAGACAACACCTGTATTAATTGTTGGGCAGCAGTTCTAAAGAAGGATATTATGGCACTAGAAAACATGCAGAGGCGGGCTACAAAATTAATAGACGGAATGGAAGATTTTAGTTGTGAAGAAAGGTTAACACATTTAAATCTATTTCATTTAGAAAAACTGCACCCTAGAGGGGATATGATAGCATTTTACAAATATATGTAGGACCAATACAAACTATTGTCTGTAAATCTATTCATAGACAGGACTGTATGTAGGACACAAGCTCACACATTTAGACTGGAAGAAAAGTTTTTTTTTTTTTACAGGAAGAACAATAAGGATGTAGACAAGGCTGGTGAAAGCATTTTTGGCGCTCTAGGCGAAAACAAATTTGCCGCCCTATTTGCTTCACCCAATCATGCAGACTAACACACACGCTGACTCAAGTAGACACACACTGACCATGCAAACTGACACACACGCACTAACCCATGTAGACTGACGCACACAGACTCATAAACACACACTGACCCATACATACAGACACACCTATACAGACACACTGACCCATACAGACACACACACTGACCTAAACATACATACATGAAGCAGACTAACACACATTCTCTGACATTCCTTACCTGCATTACTGTTCACTCCCTGCGCCTGGCTGCCCTTTCTCTGCACATTATGCTCCCGCCCACTTCTCCCCACATCCAGCGGAAGGGACAGGAGCAAGGAAGTGAAGCGCCCGCGCGCTGCCGCAATGCATGCCTGGGAGGGGGGACCTGGCTGAGCGGGCGCTAGTGAGCAACAATGTAAGTGCTTCCGAGCGGGCCGGCGCCCCCCTCCCCCCTTAAGCAGCGCCCTAGGCGGCCGCCTAGTTTCCCTATACGGAGCACTGGCCCTGGATGTAGAATCTTCTGCTGCAAAAACATAATATTTAGGGATATAATTTTTCATTTGTAGGGTAACAGCTTCTTCTTGATCCAAGGAGATATCAGACTGCCATTCTGGGTTCACAAAAGGATTTTTTTCCTAGTTTGTTGCAAAATTATCAAAAACATTTTTTTGGCCTTCTTTTGGATCAACCGCAAAAACAGAAATGAGGCTGAACTTGATTGGTGCCTGTCTCTATTCAGCCTATGTAACTATGTAAAATGACATCATATTTTGACAAATGTATTTTAATATATTTATTAAATTGTATCCAGAAATATGAAATAATTTGAAAAGCGTAACTTCCAAAAAATTAAATCCAGGCCTATGTGTAACACATGATCTGTTTTTACAAATGTATTTATTTTTTCCTTTTCTATCATTTGCAGATCAGCCAATGGCCTGTGGTGACTCCCCAGTCGCATTTATACCTAGAAGAATTTTGTTTTTTTGAGCTCTGTCATATTTTGCTGCCTCGACATAAAGCTGCATCATGGAAAATTGCTCATTATAGAATGACTGCACTTTTAAAAAAAAAAATTTATTTTCTACCAATCTGTGCCGCCATTGTTTATTATTAATGCTAGTCCTGTGTTACTGCAACTAATGACACTTATGATGTTATCTTCACTGCAGAATGACTTTGAGATGTACTTAGTTCCAACGTCTACCTTTCAGCTTGTGGTCCGTTGAATGTCTGTACCAAGGAGGGTGTAGTACTGAGACAGTCATGACATGGATCATTTGTAGCTATATTCCAGAACGGAGAGAGTAGTGTGACTCCTAACATAACTTACTATATGGAACACTTATAGCAAACTGGTTTTATCTCAATGTTCGATTGAAACTGTGATGATTTCAGGGACATCTCAAATAAACAGCTGCACTACGTCGGTATCATACGGCAATTTTTCAAGGCTTTGCCATGCATCATACTTCTCTAAAGGACTATTGCAACTGCTTTTCCAGAATGCAATGCAATGCACCATAGTCGTTTTTATATATATTTTTTTCTCTGATTATAATTTAATGCAATCAATTTATAAAGAATATTAGAACAAAATAATGGAATTTAAATAACGGGTGATTGTGAGGAGATGAAAATTTAAAGGGAAGTTTAGCATTCTACCAATCCTATTTGTTTAGAATTAACATGTATAACATAGTGTCATTTTATATGTATGGTGTGGGGTGTAGAATGCTTTAAAACAAAGTTTAGAGTAAGGCACTCTCTAACCAACATAATCACTACACTGAGCTTGCTTAGAGAGTTGTGGTGTCTGTCCATTTAAAGGAAGACTCCATTGAAAGTTTGTCAATGCTTCTCAAGAGCTGCGAGTGCACACACATGATCGCGGCTTCCTATGCTTCTCAATGAGCTGTAATAAAGGGGGGAGGGAGCCACGCGAGCTCCCACTTAGCATGTCTGCCGCTTCCGTTGGCTCTCTGGAGCTGGTGGAGGAAAACCTCCTTGGCTGTCTGAGTGACAGCCAGGGAGAGGTTTCTACCTCAAATTATAAAACTCCCATTCCATAATTAATTCATCCAACCGACCGATTTTGGCCTCCATTGATTGCCTGAGAGTACTGGGAGTAGGTTCAACTAGGAATTTCAGAGAGCTGACAATGGGATCTATAAATAATTGACCAGGAAACTACACATTTTAACCCAAAAAAGCCTAACTGGAAAAAATACTCTCGCTTACCTATATTTCTAGTTCTGCTATATTTGTCTGAAATGTGGGCAAAATGAATTAATGAACCCTGGATTATTTATTTCTTGAGTTTTATTTTTTTCTTGTTTGTTATATCTTGGGAACCAAAACGTTGCTTTTCCCAAACCCAGAAAGTAATATGACATTTCTTGCCGTATTTATTTGATTGTTGGACGCCAAGATCTGAATTTTCTAAAATCTAAATTTCTTCTTCTTGGACTCTCCTTAAGGCGTTCTGGAATGTTGCATTTGTCCATCCTTCAGAACACAGCCAATAGTTTTTGCACTAATTGTAAGAAAAGCTGCAATGTGTTTAGAAATAAGAGTAGCTGCTTTGGGTTGTCACTTGGGTTCTTGTATGCTGGTTCATCAAACCCCAACTGCCTTTAAAACCTACGGCTGCTATGGAAGAGAAGTGATATTTTTATTATGTATTTTGTATTATTCGTAACTGTTTTTGAAATCATGTTTGCTTTTGAATTAAAAAATTGTGTGTTAAGTGCTGTTTATTATTTCTTATTGAATGTTATAAATATCGAGAAATTATGCTTTCTGTGAGCGACTGCAATGTTTTTATGTGTATTGTCCCAGCTGTTTGCAGTCTGATCAAATATTATTCTTAAAGCGATCCTGTGATGAGAAAAACAACTTTAAATCGTTCCCATACACGTTGAATACACTATATAATAACAATACACTGTGTATTTTCATGTAAAATATAATGTGTAACACCCAGCTGTGGACCTTCCTCCGATCCTCCCAAAGTCTTCTTTGACTTGCCTTGCTTGAAACACATCCCCAGCAGCTCAAATCTTGACAGTGACATTGGCACAGGTCATTCCATTCCTATAGTCCCTATGAATTGCTAGAAGCGCTGGTTATGGAGTACCCATAGCAACCACAGCACGTGCACTGCAGTTGCTATGGGAGGAGAGCACTGCCCTCTCACACATGCATAGAACCATCACACACACTACATCTGTCACACACACACTACACTCTTCACACACAGCACCTCGCAGACAAAGAAAAAAAAGTAGAAAAGAAAAATATAGATACATCTATTTTCACAAAGATTCACTCATCCTATGTGAAGTATGGAACTGTGACTATGGATAGACTGCTAATCACAACAGTCACTGCTGGGCATTCGCATATTTTTTTATTTTTTTTTGCAGTGGAAATAATAGTTCCAAACTGGCTCCAGGTACCCCAACGGCATTCCTCGAGCTAATTGACTTGTCTAACAATTAGGGTAGTTGCTAAGCATTGCACATTTTTTAGTTAATGGTTACAAGAGAAAGTGACATGCATGTGTTATCTTCTGTTTACAATTTGCTTGCTTAAATGTGAGAGAGATAACTTCCTCCCCCCCCAGTACCCCCATAGCCACTCCTGGATGAAGATAGTGCGGCTGGTGCATTATGACAGGTGTTATTCAATATTGCATTACTGTACTAAGACTAGTATGGTCTTTGGGTGTCGAAAGTCCCTCTGTGGGCTCAACATATTCCCGCTGTTATTCGGCGGTCTACCTGCGTTGTGGCTCCCGCGGGGTTGATTGACATGCGCTTCACGACAGTCCGGGGGCAATATGCGGCATCCAGCTCGATGTACTTGGATCTTGGTGCATTTGGTGAGTAGCGTGTCGCGGATTGAGGGCTGCTGTGTGAGCGGTGGCTGGTTGTGCCCTTATCGCTGCTGCCGGTTGCTGGTCCATCTCCCGAACGGAGCCGAGAGCCAGAGGAGGGTCTCCATAGGTAAGCGCCCCGTTTAGGGGTTAGTATGAGTGCGTGCTGCCGGGCTTTGTGGTTGTCGGACCAGGTGGTGCTTCTGGTCCGCGTTGGTTGCAGTGGATGTGGTGGGGCAGCTCTCATGCACGTTCTTGTTGTTGTTGTTGTGCACGGCCTCCGCCATCTTAGATTCATTGCTTGGGTTGCGTATCAGTTTGACCATGCTGCTAGGCTTTAGTCTCAGTCTCTGTTGTAGCAGTCGGCGCACCGGGGTGAGGACGGGGATCACAGCCGGGGAGGGGGGTGGGGAGGAGAACAGAGCCGGTTCCACTTGTTAAAAAAGCATCTACCACTTGTTAAAAAAAAGATTTGTTAAAAAAAAATTAAATAAACATGTTCAGTAAACAGTAGATTTGTGTATAAATTGTTTAATTTTAACGGTAAATGTACAGAATATTGGTAAATTCTCGGCTATCGGCCTAAAAGTTCAGAGATTATCTGTTTCGGTATCAGCTCTAAAAAAAATCAATATCAGTCGATCCCTAATGCACACAATACTTTACTTGTAAGCAAACACATACTACATCCTCTAAGCATACACTCTCTACAACCCCTACACACACTACATCACCTATACACACACACACACACACTACAGTCCATATGCACACACTCGCTACATACCGTATACACACTATGCCCCCTATACACACACTCTCTACAGCCTGTAGCCACACATATTACACCACAAACACAAATGAAATCAACCTATTTACCACCCCACAATCAGCTCAATCTACACTCTCTTATGGAGACACCAGAGACAAGTTAAATGCAAACACAGTGCAAGCATGTTATTAAATTTGCTTGTGCTGCGCAGGACAAATACAGGGCCTTTTTCCCATGCTAGAGCTCTTCAGCTGAGCTCTGCGCATTGAACCAACATGCTCACTTTGAGAAGGGGCGTGCTTGTCATTAGTTTTTCTTAACTTACTGATTTTGAAAATATTTCTGGTTGCTTGTTTCATTTCCCTCCCATGATATGTTCAGTGTCGGCATTACCCTATTGTGACAATGCCCTGCATTAGCCAGGAGTAAGGAAAATATAGCCATACTTACCACCATTTTTCTTTTCCTGGATATATAAATAAAAGCATGGAACATGGGACAAATTTACTTTTTTAGAAGCATGGAGCCACGGGCATAGATTGGAGATCCTGTCTTGTTGGTGGGGTGTTACGGTACCCTCAGCATTAAATGTACAAACCGCCGTTTAGTGAATGCTCCCCTTTCGCAATAGCATAGGCTGCATGCGTATCCAGTACAATCATGCGAACCGCAAGCAAGGGAACACGGTAAACTCACGAACAGGATCCGTACGGGCACTTCACTCCACGAGCTCCAAACTCACGAATCGCCAATAGTAGCCGAACGCGTATATCTCCCAAGCGGCTAATAATTCCATCCAGCAGTCTCTAGTCGTCGGTAATAAATCCCCCCAATAACGAGACCAAGCTCCGCATTGACGGTAAAAAAAGAACTGGCTTTACTGTGGGCTACCTGCCCGTATTTATGCAGGTCTCCCTCTTGGGACACTCCCCTAGGGGACCAAATGGGAGACTGTAACAACAGACAGACATATGGCAAGTCAGGATCCACAGACACAGAATATTCCCAGCATGCATTAGTATTTCCTCCCCTCTGCCCTGGAGATAATTGAGAAGTAATTCAATTATCTCCAAGACAACGACAAATCGCCATTTTAAATACAATATAGAAAAACACATAGAAATATATAACTTGGCTTCTGTCGAATGCTACCCATTCGTATCACATATCCCCAGATAGCCTGGATCTGAGTGCACATTATTGGCGAATAGCGCTCAGATCCCATACGCATAGTTCAATCGCCATGGAGTCAAAGTCTATCACAGTCCTTCGGTATGCGATTGACTCCATGGGAAGGCTATCTGGGGTAAGTCCATTCGTATGTTTAAACCTCCCGAACGGCCGGTGTTCGCATCCTTCTGTCGATTGAGAAGGGGAGGTCGACGGCTTCAGCGGTGTTCGGCAGAAAGGGTGTCCGTTTTCAGTTCCATGAAATATATGCCAAACACCGCTGGTCTTTCGCATGTTTTAAAATGCCCACCGCCTCGTGGTCGACATACGAACGACAACCACCTGGTATTCGGTTCTTAATTGAGAAGTGTCTGCAGTTAACCACAACGTTCTAATTGGGATCAATAGGTTAACCAGCAGCACACTTCTCTTCTGGGTGGCCTTCCATTCGGTAGTTTCATTCGGCGGAAAAAGTCAATTCACTAAACAGAGGCATACGAACGGGTAATTCCACAAAAAGGCAAAAACAGGCAAACAGAGGCAAACAGACGAATCCAGCAACCAGTCTCTACACAGATGGATCTGTCACATGGGGTATTGCAGTTGTGCTCAAAAGTTAATTTTTTTTAGGAACATGGAACATATTTACTTTTTTTAGGAGCATGGAGTCTAGATTGGAGATCCTATTTTGTTAGAGGGGTATTTATCATTTTCTACACAACTGAGACAACTAGTCCGAGTATATTAGCAGGGTTTGCAATGACTGTTAGCTGTCTAACAAGGTTACACATGCCAGAAGAAGCACCCTGGGCTGTGTACACAATGGCTAAATAGCTCCAACGTAAACAAAACATTTTCTTTGTATTCCACCAGCTAAGAATGAATTAGAACAGATTTAAAAAATTCCATAGTGTGTGTCTGTTTAGCCTAACACACGTTCTCTGACTTTGATTTAATTTTTTTTTTTTTTTTTGCTGTTCAAAGGATTGACATACCTGCCTACAACGCCACAACAGCATTTATCAGCATTTCAACAAAGATAAGAGTATGACATGAGTGAAACTGAGTGAAAATTTTTTAGTATCATGGATATTTTTTTTTTTATATATATATTTTTTATTTTTGTTGTGCATATAGGATACATGCAATCTGACATCGCCACAACAGCAAATACCAGCAAATCATCGGTAACAGTATTGTGGCACAAAATAAAAAAGCACAATTTTTCTTTTACAACCAAGCTTGCAAGAAATAAGTATCAGTGTGTAGACCAGTAATTAACACGACCGACAACTAGCACATTTTTGAACAATGCAAGAGAGCAGAACACGTTGTATACTGAAGGTTAGATGTATATCCTGTATATGCCATGTAGGCTAAGTAGGCGAAGACAGGTAGTCTGCCATGCAGATTAACATTAATGCGATGAAACATACATGTGTGTTGCGAGTATTAGTCAGGCTGGGCTAACTTATCTGAGCAGGCAGCCTTTACAAAACGCATATAGTGCATAAGTGCTAGACTGAACTATCTGACAAAAAGAGGGTTAACAACTATTAATGCACAAGATTAATACAATAAAATAAAGAATAGTGTGGATAAACCTTTTCCTCTTTGCCTGAGCCAATACGGAGACCGGCATCTCTAACCCACAGACTCGGTGGCTCACTGAGTCCAAGTCCCTCCCGTAAATGGGACAGCCGAAGGTCCTGGTCTTGTTGCGGTCTTGCTTCCGCTGCCGTGGGTTAGGCTTCGGCATCATGCCCCTAGTGGTCTTCAGCCCTGGTGGGTGTATGTCGGATTAAACTACTGCCTGTATGGATATTGTACCCAGAGGGGGCCTCCTCAGTCACTCACTCCTGTGCTGTCCGTTAACCAGGGTACCTATGTTTAATTTTAGAACCTGGCTGTCAGTGTGTATGCTTTA